ACTTTTTCAACATAACTTTTGAAAATGTTCCGGAAGGTCTGACACTTTTATATATATCTTAAATTAAAGCTTATGTAATATACTTTAATTTGAAAAAAAAAAATTTGACCTCTGGACTTGTCTTCACGGCGAAAATGGCTACCGAATGCTATTTTCGTGTGAAAATTCTCGATATTATTTTTTACATTTTTAACTTTATAATGCTATAACTTATTGAAAAGTGTATGGATCCACACAATTTTTTTTAATACATTATTCAATTAAGGTATTAAACCCATAATCCCTTATTTAGGACTCAAAATCCCTAAAGTAGTCATGAAAATGAAATAATTCTCAGTTTTTATAATGTAAATTATTAACTACTTAAATTTGACTTGAGCAGTTACAATTGTTTTTGTTTCTGTACACGAATACAAATTAAGGGATCTATAGATGCGGGCTTCCTATTTTAGTAGGCTCTGAGGTAAAATTTCTATAGAAGAAGAAACGATTTTATGTAGTAATTGGAATCAACTTTATACGTTATAATTAATTACATACTATTCGGCCGCAAAATGTAGGGGGTCTATAGATACATTTACTTATGTATATTTGTTTACCTATCAACCATGAACCTGTTTTAGTCCTGCACTAGTTAAAATGCAGGGTGTTATTGTTCTAGAACAATAGCACCCTGCGTAAGTGTCATCTAGACTAAGGAGCACAGGTAGAAACCGTTACTCCAAATCATCGCTATTGTTAATCAACATTCCTGCGTCCCCCTAGCGCATACCTTTCGTGGTGTTTTCGATACTATCTAGTTTATGTACGTTGACACTTGTGGTTTGCTCTTTGGTGTGATCACAAGTATCTTATTTCGTGTTATATTTGGTGCTTTCGGCTTAAATGCATTTTACCACCCCATCGAGATTTTTCAAATTTTTTTTTTTAAATCAATTTAGTTTTTTATACCGACTTAGAATATATAAAAATTTTTTGTCGGCGAAGTCTAGTTTAAAAGTTATGAGCTTTCAAAGATTTCAATAATCATATACAAATTTTGTTATATACTGCTGTTTTTTTTTGATAATTTTCATTAATTAACTATAAAAAGTATTCTCGATGATGTAGTTACCGAGGAATAGTAAATTTAAGAGTATTTATGAGTACATTAAACGTGTTAAGGTAGTGTTGAAGTAAATAAATTTAATTTTTTTTGATCTATTTTTTCAATATTATATCACCATTTTAACATCAAGGTTTTATACTTGTTGGGTCACTGAGAATTTCAGTCGAATGGGTTTAAATAGGTTGGGTTTGGGCTTGACTTCTATCCTCTGGGGGTTTGGGGGCGTGAGCCCCCATCCCATGAGAGTCCCAAAGGGGCTCGAATCGGTCACCGGAGCCGGCAGGCGTAGGTGACCACAACTTATATTTAAATGGGTTTGTATAACTCAACATTATAACATTAAGATATTAGTAAGTATATTTTGATACCTCAACAACTTAACTAATATCAACAATATCTAATGTAATAGTAATTTTTTTTTGTTTACAACAAGTGTTAATTGGTGTACATAATAAACAGTAAAAACTTTTATTTTATTGAATTAACAATTCTATGTAAAACACCACATCGTGGTCTTTTTTTTTTTTTTTTTGCTCAAATTGAATTAATTGAGTTTCTTGTTATTTTTATTTCGTATTGCGTAAATTTGATGTGCGTAGTTTTGAAAAAAAAATTTGGAAAATCCTTATTTTTAAAGATAATTTTGGTTTTAGGATTTTTAGAATGAGGATATTATGTAATAATTACGTCGTTATAGTTTCACAATAGATCATGAGAAAAAATCCCAAAAATTAACAAAAAAAAAAACAATTTTTGAGCTATTTTTAGTTTTTGACGTTTCAACTTTAAAAAGCTATAACTTTTGAACCAATTTTTTCCGACAATTTTTTCAAACACTTTTGAAAAAAGCATTGAAAAATACACGTTTAAAAAAAAAAAAAAATGAAAAAACTCGATGGGGTGGTAAAATGCATTTGTTCCGTGCTTTCTTTCAAAATATCTCACTACCTCACCAGTATGCGATGCTCAGTGAAGTTTTGTCCAAGTACATATTCCTTCAAGGATAAAAGCTTTTTTTCTTATCCTATAGAAAACAATTGTTTGAAACTATGGATGAATAATTGTCAAACTAATCATTTGGCAGAGACTTTTTTTACCACACGATTTCGTGCTCATAAATAATATGAAATACTATCAATTGTAATAATGTTAATACTACTACNTGAAATACTATCATTTTTAATAATGTTAATACTTATAATAATAATAGATTAACTCTTTTAAATTAAAACCTTAAATTAAATCATTTAAACGGCAAAGAAAAGTCGTCTATTAATAATTTATTCAATCAATTTAATGATATATTAATTTTATCCGATGATAAATTATCTTATACTAATCAAATTGTACATAAAATAATTACTCCTAATGCTCATCTAATTAATATAAAACAATAGATACCCTATGTGTCATAACGAGGAAGTTGATAAACAATTAAAAAATCTTTTAAAGCAAGGTAGCATTGAAAAGTCAAATAGTCCATGGAACTCGTCTAGAATTCTAAATTTTATAAAGGCATATATAAATTATGTTTTGTCTGTTAATAAATATTTTTTTGATTTGTTTTATACTCTTTTTTTGTTATTTTCATAAAAATTATAAATTAATTGTTCAAAAAAAGAGTTATATAAAAGATTAAATAATCTGAATTATTTTTACCATGTCAGAAATATTTATTAACGATATTTTTTAAAAAGGCACTAGTATAGAATTTACTCAATACCTACAAAAAAGAATGAACCAATAAGTTAATACTTATATGAGTCATTATGCTATCTTAACTATATGCTATGTTAAGTGGAAAAAATGTTACATAATAAATGTATTCGTAAAAAATTATAAAGTTATATTTATAAATAAAATGAAATTATACCTTTCAGAAAAGCTAGATACAAAAATAGTGCTTATTATTTAAAAAAAAAATGTATAAACATGCAAAATCATGTTTGAGTATCGTATTACTGGCTTGATAAATTAATTAGATTAGAAACATAATTTTAAGTAAAAATTAAAATAAAAGCAAAGTATCAGATATCTTATTTTAACAAATTTTATATTTTTCATAATTTCTGAATGTTTAGAATTTATAATACATGATTTCAAAATAGGTTATTTTATGTATTTATGTTATTTAAAATATGTTACATGTTTATATGTATGAAAACACTATTAATTATTTATTCTATGTATTATTGTTTTGTATTAACTTATATCAGTTTGCTGTGTATCCTATTGTGACTCAAATGTGTTATGTATTAAAATTTTTGAAATAATATTTTAGATATTATTTCTCTTTAAGGGCGACGGTGTCGTGAACCCATAATTATTTTGTAATAACATAAGAGGTAACAATAAGAGGTTTATTCCCAACTATGTCCCCTACGCACGAAACCAGGAACAACAATTACCCAAGACTGGAATATTATAAGGTAAAAACAATGAATGAAATAGCTGTACATTCAACATATGTCTTCAAACAATTAACACTTAAAACAATATTTCGTAAAAATTCCAATAATTAAATGTTTAATATTAATTGTTAAATTGTTCTTCAATTAGGAAAACACTTCACATAAAAATTTTAACTGACCACTTAGTAATTAGATATCGTAATTCTATTTTATATCTTCAACAAATTAAAAATCCACTGATTCCAAGACACACGATTTCATCTGTATTAAACATAATAATAGTTTTAAACTTAAAAACACATAATACGGCTATAATCAAAATGATATAGAAATTGATAAAAATTTTAAAAATAAAAATGTTCCTATGATTTTTTAATTCATGTTATTCATTTTGTCC